GTCGGGAACCTTTTTGGCTATGTGAGCCATATTAAGATTGAGCTAACGTGAGCGAAAGATCTTCAGAACAGAATTTTTCCCGAAATTGACAGACATGCATTCTTTAATACATGAGAAAAATGAGTCTGGTCGCTAGTCTGGCCAAACAGACCACGGAATGACGCTCAAGTTGAGGCCTTAATGCTCCATTCCCATTGGCTGTCGGTGGCAGATGATGCCTTTCCGTTGCGCATGGGAGTCTGAAAGGGAAGTTGAGAAATTTTCTGCAAACATGCGAATATGGAAGAGGAGAGTGGTTCACTCAGTCGACTCTCCCGTGCGTTCAGCTGAAATGTGAATTCTCTTATTGACTTCATATGATTTTGATTCTAAGCGAAGTGGTAACGTGGAGAGGTCTCAATTGAACATTGGTCATGGCAACCTGTTGTTTAACTTTTGAAATAAAATCTTGAAATTTTTGAATATAATTGCATGGCTCGAATGAAGAAACTTCGTATAGGGGAGGTAAAGGGGTCTTCAAGCTGAAGAGCGCTCTTTCTCCAATAGGAGTTCATGCATTCCTAAAGGACCATTAACTAAGGACGTTTCAACATTCAAGCCTTAGTTTCACAAACAGTAGAACCTAGTATGGTGGAGCTTTTTAATTTTTAATGAGCTTTCAGAATATATGCATTATCACATTCCTATACCGGGTTCCCTGAAGTTCCGGTTTCGTGGTGTCGGTTGACGTTTCCATCGAATGACCCATATCTAGATCAAATTCCGTCGGAATCCACGTCACGTCACGTGACCCCGGCCTTCAAAGGAATCTTGAAGGCCAAACACGAGACGGGAGGCCCTTCACCCTCCTCTAGCCTCGTCAGTGGCCAGAATGAGCCAAGCGTTCCAATCCCTTTCGTTCCAAAAACGATCCTATTAACAGAAAAATAAAGTGGAAGTTGAAGGAATGAAGTAAACTAGAAGTAGGAGAGTGGACAGATGACGTTGAGATAAACACGGGAAGAGGGAGGTTTTCTGACGAGCTCCCTCCTATTCTCGTGGTGCCGCCATCACGATCAGGACCTTACAGGAACTTTTCCTTCCGGCATCGCTTTTCAGGATATTGCACAAGGACGGAACCATCTCGGATTCTTAAAAAGATGTGGCCATCTTTAAGCCTTTTATATGCTTTTTTTTTCCTTCTGTGGCTCACCGGTTCTAGTTGCTTGCCAGTCCTATCAAGCATGACAGGAATTGCCCTCTGAAAACCGAAAAAAGTCCTATTCTTGGAATGAGGATATCTGACGGATATCTCTCCTAATTCGCAGGAAAATGTTCAATTATATTTTATAATATAGGAAATATGGTAATATAATAATAGACATGTATTAGATCACCTGAACAGGTGCTATGAGGCGATCATTGTGTCCAGAGTTACTTCCATCGGGTGCGAGTTACTTCTGACAATTTAGGTAGCTTGAAAATCAACGAGGGATTCCTCTCTCCTAGTTTCTCGCCATCTCGAAATGAAAAGCCTAAGTTATAAAAAAAAACGAGACAAGAAGTGTCGCTAATGTGGGACGAGTAGAACCCTGCATTCCATTTTCATATTTGAGTTTCCTCGTGAAATGCAAGTGACCGACGATAGGCAACCTGCGATGTAAAAAAAAGGCCGCCACCCACCGAACCCAAGAAACGCAAGCTCAATCATTATGGCAAGGGTGTAGGAACGTTCTGAAATGTAGAAATTAAAGATGAAAGAAAAAATTCCGGGGGGTTAAAGGAAGTCCTTGACATCGCTCTCAGTTGGCTAGAGATCACAATGTAATGCTGAACCCATGAACCCATGTCATTTGGTTATCTCGTTGGAAGGAGGCCAATTTTTTCTTCTTCTAATTGTAGCCGTACCACGTCGTGTCGAGTCTCATTTTGACACGTTTCGATTCCGGGTCGATTCAGATTCAAATCTTTACATTTTACATGCGCTGCGAGGATTTTCTCGAGGGGAGAAAGACACGGCTCCCTAAAATGGCCACTGGAAGAAAAGCAGATGCACGACTCGAAAGAATGGAGCACATACCACGCGTCAATAGAAGAGCACGAGCTAAGGAGTCTTCACCGAGGAAGGAATGAATTCACAGTGGCAATCCGGTACCACAGTGGCTGCGTTCGTGGGACGGTCTCGCGCCTCGCGGAAAGACGGCTCACCCAACCATCCGTTCTTGAAATCTGATGCAATTCTGTGCAATGAATCGCTATGGTGATGGGGGGTTGGCGGCGAAGCACCGAGGCCATGTGCTCACCCAGTGGATTCTGTGCATCTGCGCACTGGTTCGCTGTGGACTGTGAGCGGTTGAGTTCGAGAAATAATGTCATGTGTTCCAATACTCTACAACGGACCGTCGAGGGCTGCCTCGCTTCTCCCTCCATTATCTCCAAAACGGTTCTGTGTACGAAAAATTCTGCACGAACAAGATTTGTAGTCCAGAGTCTGCTCGTCTGCTCTAGCCAGTGGTATAATATTTTTTTTGCGATTTTATCCCATTTAATTGAGATAATTGTACCAATAAGATCCTGCCTCTACCGCACCCTCTCCATGAGACACCCTCCTCCTCCCCCTCCACATCTCGACAACGGCACGGTTCGCGAAGAATCACTTTCTGACAAGATTTGTAATCCAGATTCGACCCTAACCGGTGGTATGAAATGTCGTAGCTGCATGCCTTCATTTTTAGCCTGATGCACTTCCAAACAGGCCCTTCCTCGCCCTTCCTCGCCCTTCCGGGGAGGTCAGACTACGTTTCTTCTCTCTCACGCCTCTCGAAAATGGCTCGTCTGATGAAACATTCTTATTCAGACAAGATTTGGAGCTCAGAGTCCATTATGGCCTGCGGTATACGTTTATCTGTTATTTTTTCCTGTTTTATGTACGTTATGTATCTGTTAAAAAACGATGAGCTCCTCGAAGAGGAGTTCCATGATTTCCAGGATTTTCCACCCCCCCCCCCCCTATGCCTCTTCGCGTTAAATACAGCTGATCGAATGAACCGAATGCTTCGGCAATAAGACCAGTGGGCTAGGCTCAGCTTGGAGAAACGGCGCGAGAGAAAAAAAAATCTTGGAAGGGGAAAGAGAATCCTCTCTTTGTAAGATATTGAATGAGTAAATATTGTATTTATTTAGTCCAGCGTGGTATAGTTGCCCTTCTTTCCCCGAAGCTTACCAAATTCAAGCCGGGAAATTGAACATTTCCTACCTTTATCGCTTCTACTGAATTATTAGCTTCAAATTCCCTGCTCCGGAAAATTGCCTCTATGTCTATATTACGCAATGAAAGACGGTGCCGAGTTGTTGATGGTACTGAATCTCCCAGTACAGGTATGACATTTCCTCTCTATAACACGATCAGCACTCTAATCCCAGCGTGCGATTTCGCTCCGCCACGAGCAACGATGGAAGGATGCAGCGAACCAAAATCCAAAAATCCAACAGGAAAGAGAACCTCGAGGGAAATAATTATCTGATGGAACTGAGGTGCTAAAAGGTGCGACATCCCTTGGGGGCACATTTCCGGGTGAATTGCATGAGCTGATCCCCGTTGATCAGAAAGAAAAAAAAAAAAGAGATCGTAAAATTGACTCACTTGATTCCAGGAGACGCGATGATGCAATCGGCGTCTAGGCTGACGCGATTTGGGCCTCTTCTCATTGGTCTCCGTGCGGGGCAAGGTGGAGGACCCACTCTCTTACCCCTTCTCTCCTCTCTTCTTACTCGCGCTGTCGCCACTACGAGCTGCCGACGTGACTGCTTTGGTGAGTCATCATACGAGAATGCTCCGACTTCGAGCAAGGTTAGCTCGCTATTACTTTCGTTCATCGCTCGTCGCTTCTGAATCGAGAGATATTAGCGTTTCCCCTCATACGAAAGTAGGAGATGTGTTCGATGCCTTTGCTGGTTGTTGCCAGCCTCGTCGATGCTCTTCCACCGGCCGAGCAGGTGGATGGGTTGCTCGACCGATAACGTTACGAGGAACGGTGTCCCCAGAGTGATCGTCGAGTTGGGGCCTGGGTTAATATCCCTTTCACGTTAGCCTGCGCATGGCAGATGCCTTTTGTATCGCGTTTGCCGGAGAAAATACTAATGCCTGCCTCCTAGCAATTTTGGAGGGAGGCGAGGGGGAGGGAGAGGACTCTTCCCCTTGTATGCCCGATGCATCGAGTTAGGACTTGAAGGGCGGTGGGCGTGGAGTTCGCTCCACGATGCCCTTCCCCGAGCATTCACCGGAAATCTGGATTTTCTATCTGATTTTGTGTGTGCAATTAGCGCTAGTGCATAGCAGACTTCCGTCAATCGGCGTTCGGACGAGAAGAGTGTGCCGTGAACCGGCGATGCATTAAGTTATATCACCCCTCGCTTTCGTCATACCATTCCCGTTACAACATTTTGTCTTTTATGTCTCCCTGATAGCATCTGGAAGAACGAAATTGGGCATGCCCTCGTACCCTCTCAACACAGTCACCGGAGCATAATTGAAACCCGCGGTTCGGTGGCGTAAAATAATCGGTAGGATGGAAAGAATTATCTGTATCTCAATCTAGCCTCTTCTTCAGTGAAATGCCCGACTGTCTCGGCTTCTCGTCCTTCACGTTGTTTCCGGTAGGTTTTCCTTCAAAGCTACCTGTCGCTCGGATCAGAATTTTCTCATAAATTTTCTGAGGTCTGGAAGGCTGACTTCCGTTGAATTTCTGCTTCTCACTTAACCCTTTTTTTCTTGTATCGAGGTGCAAAGTATTTCTGGCAATGCCCTGAGTTTACCGCTACGGAATGGATCTGTAAGGCTGGAAAAAATCTCAGTTTTAGAATGGTCCTGAAAATTTCTCTATTTAGTTTCGCATGACTTTTTACCTTTCATCGTTTACCGCAAAACGGTTGACGAGAAAATTACAAAAGGATCTCGAGAGTGTGGGGAACAATCTCCGGAAATTTTCGCGGAAAAAAGGATTAAGAAACCTGGCCGGTTTTACGACCGTACCGTCTCCCTCTCAACACTGAATTTTTGGTCCGATGAAGGCGAGGATGGAGAATCCATTGCGCCAGTTGAGACGGAGGCGGGCGCAGAGGCGGAGGAATCCAGAGAGGTACTTGGGCAAGAGCATCTGGGAAGCCTTCCTACTTGTCCTCGCCATCGTCCTGTATCTTGGCGACGTCGGGAGCGACATATGGGCCGCGTACCGATACTGCGTCGACGAGGAATATTTCTTCTTCGGCATGACGATTGGGATCGTCATGTTCGCCTGGCTCTTCGTCTTTGCCGTTGACATGTTTCAGTGAGTCCATCATCCAGGGCAGGAAACCCCTGGTATTTTTCCAAAGTGGCCTTAGGTCAACCTGCGCTTAAGCAGCACTTTTCCTCATTTTTTGGCAAATGCCCCACCCCCCAGAAATGAGGTGCCTGACGTAAGACAACTCCTAGGGCTGGGCTGAGCATGATGTTAAGTGACTCTTTGGGGGCATTATTGGTTCGTTGTTCTCTTTCATAGGTTCCTTCACGACATGCAATATAAACCACGTTTTCCACTGGAATGGCCCGTCAGAATACTGTTTGACCTTCTGATGATGGCTCCACTTCCCAGGTCAGTTCTCAGGAAGGTAGTCCTTGGTCATCATATCAAGCCTGTCATGTGCTTAACCTCATGTGTTTCCTTATTGGTCCATCATTATTTTACATGGCTCTATCAGGTATAGGCCTTTACTGTGTTGGGACATTTACCTGGTAATATGGTAACAGGTTGTGACTAAATAAATACATATATTAACATGTCTCCTTGAACCCCTCGGAATGGCCTTCTAAAAGCCAGGTCCCAATGCGATGATGGTAGATGATGGTAGCTTCTAGGTTGTAAGGACGATCCAGACGAAGGAAGAAATGAAAACTCTATGTCCTGGAATGCATTTGAAAAAGATCACTTAACCGAAAGACATTGGATTTGTATATTGATCTTTAACAGGTATTTCTATGCATTGCAAGACGTATGCCAGTATTGGTGCTCGGGATGCAAGACAACACGGTGGAGAGACTGTCACAACTACGATAACATTGATTCTCAGACACTAATGGCCTCTAGTCTCCGTCTGGTGGAGGCATATTTGGAATCAGGCCCTCAGATGGTCCTCCAGTTTTACATCATTGTCCATGATGGGGCTACCTTTGCCGGAAATCCCCTCACATGTGAGCTGATTATCATTTCTCGGTGGGGCCCACCCAAGGAAGTGGCAGATTTTAATGTAGTTTCTTCAATGTGGTGCCATGGGATTTCTAAAATGAGCTCCGAGATGAAGGACGTCCACAAATTCTGCTGTGGCATGATATACCTCATATCATGCCACATGCCACATGCCAAAGATGAGCTGATTTCATCAGTGCAGGAAATATTTCAATTTTTATTGAAAACCACTTACACTTGATATGATTTGGCAAACAAGAATCTGGTTACCTATTAAAACTGTTACAGGCTTTATGGTAGAGTCAAAGTACTTTTTTTCCCTTTTGGTCTGTAGTTGCCGCCCAGAGGCTTTCAATAGTGACATCCTTACTCGGTGTGGCGTCGGCAACATACAGCTACTACAGCCACTCCATCAAATATTGCGTAAAGGATGTCAGGCACAAAGATGAAATTGATCGTGATTCGTCCATCATTACTACCCTGGAACTCGACCTGGGGGATAAAATTCTTCTCTTCTTTTGGCACCTCGGTATCATCTGTAAGCTCTTTATGTTGTACTCTTCCCTTCCCATGTATATATTGTGTTTTAAAAACATGCTCCACTCATTTTCTATGGGAGCCAGGTAACATTCACATCCATGGGGGTAAAAGAAATGTGACCAGGCTTCAATATACTTCCTTAAAATGCTAAAATCTTGAAAATGAAGTGAATAGGCACGATCTGACTTGCAGTTTGACTTGAGCTGTGAGTCATCGATCAAACGAAGGAGTTGCCTTTCGATTCCAGACTAATCCCCAAAAATAAGGATATTTTGATTGCAGAAGAGAATGATAAGAATTTGGCACGAAGTTCTGATTTGAGGATATAAAGATTCAAATCTTTCCGCTCATTATTCTCCTATTGGGATACTGGACTAAACCTATATTCAGTCTTGAGCCGATGTTTCATCTGAACTATTGGAGTACTGCACGCATCTTATCCCTTTCTCACTTGTGCACCAGCTATCCACATTATTTTGTCAGAAGCACAGAATTCCAGAATACAAGGNCGTTATGGTTCCTTTAATTTCCGGCTATTGCAAAAGATTTCTAATGTAGCCGACTCTAACGTGATTTGGCATTAATGATTATCTCGAACAGATCGGCAGCGGGTTTGAGGTTGTATTGACTGCGTATACTCCTCTTATTTATATAATAAGTTTATTTTGACAGCCAAGGTCGGGAGAGACCAATAGAGATGGGGATCTCATAGGATGGAGGGGAGGTCATAGAGGCTGATTGGTGAGCTTACTACACAATGTATGGAAAAGACAATACCTGTGTGATTGAGATGGGGACAAAACAAAACACTTATTCGAGAGCCTGACCCGTTACTCGCAGGGGGGTTGTTGCCCCGCCTCAAAAGTGGGACAACCGCCGAGTTCCCCAGACTATGTACGTCTACATGACTCTCGATCCGTCTCTCCTCTCGCAGTCTTGTGTAGTTTCTTACTCCAGGAGATGCGTGCTTGTACATCTGTCCAATCCCTCTACCAAGATGATTCATAATATGTATCTCCTAAACTAAGGGGGGAAAGGAACAGATTTTGACTTGAAGTTCGAAAGATTCCATTCAGCTAAAAATTTAAAATGTACCATTTGAGTTGGGTCAAAAAATATTCTGAGTAATACTTTATATTTAGAAAAATCCATGGAAATTCTGGGATTCGTCATTTCGACGGATCATCGGCTCGGATTAATTTAGAATATTAATTTGTATAAAGGCCATAATTGGATATCTCATTTCAGACGAAAAAGAAGATTCAGATAATATAAACAACGCCAAGGTGATCTGTTGTTGCTGGATTTCCTGGTCTACACTGGGATATTCGGGTCACATGTAGAAGGGAAGAAGTTGGGATGCTATACCACTAATAATTTACAAGACAATTCCATTTGTGTAAGAGGTACCAAGAATATCTACTGATATGTCCAGAACTAAAGGTTTGGAAAGATATCATGGACGTGAGGTTGGATGGATTGCCACGAATAAGATTCAATACTATTTGAGGCGAATTCAAACTGTACTTGCAAGCTTACCCTTCGGACGAACAAACTCGCTGTGGTCGCGCCTTTGGCGCTTCATTATCAAGGATAATGATTGATCCATTTGAAATATACGAGTTTTGACCAATCTGATAAAATTCCTGGGAATCCTAGGCATATTTATTGCTCTGTCAAGTTACTGCCTGTTATGTGACGTCATTGGCAAACTAACAAATGGAGATCTTTAGCTTTTTCAAAATAGTCGTACCGAAAGGTCCTTCTGTATTGTATTTTAGCTATCAATACCTACTCGATTTTTTTTAAAGACATGTCTTAGAAACGTGCTGCATAAATTTTTTTTGCCGCGTTGAAATGGAACTAAAAAAAAACCAGGAATTTCCTTGGAATAATCTTTTCAAGGCTAATCTTAACGGAATTTTAGTTTTCTGAATCTGGCTCATAAATTTCATGAGAAATGTCTTTCCAAAAAGTATGCCCCAAAAGGAAATTTCTCAAAAGGAAAGTTCTTGACCAAATATGCATCTGGACAGGTACTTCGTGCCTGAGTTTCAGTTTCTGACTCTGTTTCGTGAGAGCGGAAATATTCGGAAATACCTGTGGTAAAAAAGCTCCCTCTGGGGATGTACCTGAAAATTTCCTGAAATTAGTACCCCAAGAACTGCAGGATTACTAAATATCAGTTATCTATTTCTTCACTTTGAAGCTTCTTGCCGCGAAGATGTCCTTGGTAGAAAATTTTCTATGAAGAAAGCCCTTCGGGATGAGCCTCACAACTAAAAACGTTTACTAATACTGGTATCAAGAAAAGCACTTGTTTACCAAATTTTTCAGTTTTCAATAAATACGTTTTTCGAAAAGGCGAAAACTTATTTAAAGCTCTCGATATATACATATTGTATGTCATGAGGGGACGTTACTGAGATTTTCATTGAAATCATTACTCCAATTATTTCTATTTTGCCAACTTCAAATCTCTTTATATATTTCCATTTGTCAGAGCGAAATATAAATCCTGAGATACCTCCCTCCTATAATCCGCCTTGAGGGGACATATTTCAAAAGTAGGATTTTCTTATATTCAGCAATTCAACAGGTACTTCTGCGCCAAGTTGAAACTTGGCGCAGTGGGAAAGTGATGTAATTCAAGTGTAATTCAGAGAACCCGAGGATATTCAATTTCTTTGATTTTTTCTATCTTCATCATCTTGCTCGTGATTTTGGGGCCTTTCTTCTAGCTGCCAGGGTCTTGGCTTTGGGCCTGTTTGCAACTGCCTTCTCCTGGTGGGTGTTTGTGGTTGTTGGCATCCATATGAGCATCGTTGCGCTCTGGGCCATCTTGAAGGAGAAGACAAGTCTGTGTTTCCGACCCCAAACGTTCCTCTTCAAGGTCGTTGCATCCTTCGTCTACGTCTTTCAGTACTTCAACAGCGGTGCCGCCTATGGGATGGGATTGGGATGGGATTGGGCATACATGATGAAACCCTATAAACTGATGTACGTCCTCATGGCAATCGAAAATGTGGTGATGCTCACTCTGTGGTCGTTCAGTGTCGTCGATGTCTGGCTATGGTACAAAATCCTTATCTATCTATTCTTGGATCTCGAGTTCTTCATCATTGGCATCGTCTCGATGCTCATGTTCCAACGTTGCGTTCAAAACAAAATGGAACCAAATGCATATTTCTCTTGCTCTGTCCCTTTGTACGCGCGTAAAATTCAAATAAATGATGTTCTCTAGGGCCTTTGAGTGATGTCTTCGGCTTTTTTGTATTGGTCCGGTCCTGTCATTCCTATAAATGATCATTTCCCAGTGGCATTTAATACAGAGAGGAATTGGAATGGCCACATGAATTGTTTGATACCGCTGATGCTATTTCCATGGGTTTCAAGTGTTCACTTTGCACCATCTATAGCATGTTTTTATTTCGCGACAGAGGAACCAAATAATCAGTCTCTGCCAACGTTTCCGCGAATTCGCTTGTATAGAACGTATTCGAGTCGACAAAGAAGCCGATGAGGCGCACTGCTTGAATGCTCTTCCATGGCTTCCGATAAATAGTGCGACCATCTCGGGTTCGACTCGTTGTCGCACAAATGCGAGCCACTGGATCGGCTGGTTCCGTAAGTTCTTTTCGTGTCTTTCATGATGAATTTCAGCTTCGTTCTTTGTGAATGCACGAAATGAATGCGAATATTAACGTTTCCTTGTTCTTGACCTACATAGGATCCGATCGATTCATAATTCCTGCCGATTTCACATCGCGCGCTACGTTAGCTGAAACTTTTCTCCAAGCAACTGATTCGCAAAGATGACGTAGCATAGGGCAAACAAATGAATTCGGGTAATTTTGAATCCTCGATGCCGTCAGAGCCATTTTTTAATGTCAATTTTTCTTTTCTTTCACGCTCCTGCAATTTTTCAGGTATTACCGCCGATATGCATTTTGTCAGGCATCTGAAATATGAATGGAACTGGGTATGGTTTTGGATCAGTAACGCAAAGAGGAAGCTACCTGTATGGATTTTTTTTTTTTGGGAGGGGGGGTTTCTCGTTCAGCTGAAGGAGACGATCCCCATTCGTGCGTTCCGTGCCTGGTTCTCAATTTCAAACGTGCCTATTCCATTCGTTGTTTCTCGAGATGATGATCTAGAGATGCAAAAATCCCATCTGGAAATCGTCAGACGTAAAGGCAAGACAGAGACCTATTCAGCAGATTCTGAAGAGAAAAGGCCCATGTATTTTGAAATGAAATGCATGAAATTTCGTTGGCTTGGCTAGGTTGCTGCTGTTGCAGAGGCGCCAAGAAATGTCGAAGAACGTGCTTTTTTCCCTCACCCGGTATATTTTCGGTTTCCGTGACCTTCCTCATTCCTCTCTCCCTTGTCTACCCTTCGCCCTCGAGTCCCGACTGACGGAATCCATGTCAATGTGACAAACGTTTGCTTATTTGTCTGTCTTTCAGAAATTTGCACGACTAGTATTTAGAGTATCTGATGACGGTAAGCATCCCCCAATTTATGTCCGTTCCTTCGTGTTCCAAATTCCTACAATGTGTCTCATGAATGATGAATCTATGTCTGCTATGGAAGTCGACCTCAATTAGGAGGACGTGCACGTTTCACGAGTAACAGCTCGTTATTGGGTTGCCAGCTTTTCGAGGCCCGAAAACTTCATTGTGAAAGGTTAGGAGGGGTTGAAGCTAAAGGGGAGAGGGGGTGGAGGCCTCAAGCACAGCGTGGGTTTGCTCCTTCACTGCCTTTTTCTTCCTTCTTCCGAGTGAAACCAGGAGAATTGGCAACCATAGTTGATCACTGAATAAATTTTCGTGTAAAGTTTCCCCTGTGATTGACTAGATTTATGATACACACGTCTTGGGACTATGTGAGAGAACCGCATGCAGCAAGCGCGAACGCGTTCGGAAAATGAGAGCTCCTTCAATGCGTTACAGCCGGGGACGGGATTTTGTAGAGCGAAGACGCATGGAATGAAAGAAGGGATGCATG